GAGCACTCCAAGGAAAGCTCAATGCATTCATTCATCGATCATTGACGTTGCCAAGAGAAGAAGACGCGTCGTTCTTTCCTACCGAAGTTACCCGAGCCGCCCGGAGCTTGTTCGTGATCAATCCCGAAGCTTCTTACAATGCAAGACACTAACAAAAGGAAGCTTCTTGGGCTGCAAGGCAACTCCCAACAGCTCTTTTCTACCACCTACTCACCATTAATGCACGTAGGCTGCATGTTGTTTAGCCTTTATGTCTTTGTTGACAATTGTTGTTATTTAAACTCATTCTCTCTTTCATTAGAGAGTTAGCTTATCTTCTTTGAACAAAATTTGCAGACTTTGTCTCATTTTTCTCCACTCTTTGTGTCGAGATTTATCTAAGTTTTGGTGTGTCCAAGCTTAGCCTCCGTCGGTGTGTCCGCGAGGTTCTTCTCTCGGTGTGTCCGAGCGTATTCGTCGCCGGTGTGTCCGCGACCAGCACTCGGTGTGTCCGGTGCTCCTATCCCCTTCGTCTCCACCCCACCACATCTCTCCCGTGGTTACGTCGAGTGCCTCTCGCAGGCCCGTGACTGATTCCGAGGACCACCCTTCCCCTTCGAACGAGAAACAAGCGCACATGGACACGGAATGGCCGAGAAGCTTCCTTAGCGGGTCACGGACCACGGACGACCTCGGATGATACACGCACGGAGTCGGAGAGGATGGAACAAGGCCGAATCGCCGTCTCACGCGCTTCACGGAGAAGGCTCACGACTTTCGATCGGGTATGGTGTTCGAAGGGGAAGGGTGGTCCTCGGAATCAGTCACGGGCCTGCGAGAGGCACTCGACGTAACCACGGGAGAGATGTGGTGGGGTGGAGACGAAGGGGATAGGAGCACCGGACACACCGAGTGCTGGTCGCGGACACACCGGCGACGAATACGCTCGGACACACCGAGAGAAGAACCTCGCGGACACACCGACGGAGGCTAAGCTTGGACACACCAAAACTTAGATAAATCTCGACACAAAGAGTGGAGAAAAATGAGACAAAGTCTGCAAATTTTGTTCAAAGAAGATAAGCTAACTCTCTAATGAAAGAGAGAATGAGTTTAAATAACAACAATTGTCAACAAAGACATAAAGGCTAAACAACATGCAGCCTACGTGCATTAATGGTGAGTAGGTGGTAGAAAAGAGCTGTTGGGAGTTGCCTTGCAGCCCAAGAAGCTTCCTTTTGTTAGTGTCTTGCATTGTAAGAAGCTTCGGGATTGATCACGAACAAGCTCCGGGCGGCTCGGGTAACTTCGGTAGGAAAGAACGACGCGTCT